GAATAGACAAAGAAATATAATACAACATCATACCATATACCCAGTATATATTATATCAAAAATGCATGCAATGAATACGGAAAAACATTATCTTTTATTAGTAATCATACTCCGATGCTGAATAGAAAATTAATTATGCGTCAAAGTCGAGTGATACGCAGTATTATGACCTTGTGACAACAGGTGCCCCGTGTAGATATCGTTATCCTGAAGGGACGTAGAATTTTATGGTATTAACATTTTACATAACCATATTCTATAGTATCTGGTAAATATTTAAATCAATAGCTTAACCTACATTAGAATATATTATGATTTCCATTTTTAGCCTCAATCACATGTATATATTACGGACTATATAAATATTACATTGGACATTTGAGAATAGCCACTAACGATTTTATGAATAAGTGTATTTTGTTTTACCAACGTCTGTGTTTGAAAAGCGAAGTGTCCGTTAAGTATTGACCACGGAGATTTGTCATTGTTACGGTTGCCATATTTAGCCGCTGCTTATTCAAGGTGTGTTAAGAGTGGGTAAGCGGTCATGCATTAGCTCGCCTGACCACAGATCACTGTTTGCTTGCCTTTAGTTTCTCTATCGTCCCGTAATATTTATATAATAGATGAATCGACCAAGCAGTAACATGACCTCATAACTATTCATTTCTTACTTAAAACAAACTACGTGCTGTGTACCTGACCCCCACTGGACATAGACGGAGTGGTCAATAATAAGTGACTATGTACATACACCGGACAAAATTTTAAACGCCCAGATAATTTAGCTCGGTGATACGGTTCAGGATACGGTAAGTGGGTCAGTCTGAATATAAATGTGAAAATATTACGCAAAATGGACAGGTACAAGTCCGGATAGGGTCGAATCAATTGGTTTGACCATTTATATACCCTACCTTTAACAACACAACACGAATAAAAACACAAAACTTGAGCATACGTACAAAGCTTTGTATAAAACGCGACCTTGAAAACATTTTTTAAAGATAAAAAAATCGTTTAAAATTATGAAAAATAGTACATTTATGAACATTTGAAAAGAAGGGGAAAATATTTTGAACATAACAAAGAAAGCATTTTAGAGCATTTTGAAAATGAAAATAAAGCAGTTTTGTACAAATGATGATCTGACCATACAAAATTACTACTTGGCAATTACTAAATTCAAAGTAAACGTGACTATGCAAGTTCCTTTACAGCATCACTGATTTAATTGTCCATAATTAAAATAATACATATTATACAACTTTAAATGACAATGAAATCACTGAGAATGATAGACAATGATGGACACGCATTCTATGATATCTATACAGTGTTTTCAAAAGTTTAAAAATCAATTAGTGGTCAATCTAGGTTAGCAGATCATTCCTGTCGTATCCTTCTCTTTCCTTGCTACCTTCCTTTCCTCTGATGCTCTTGATTAATTGTTGTTAGTTATATGTCAGGAGAGGTTGTCTTAAATTGTTGTTAGTTATATGTCAGGAGAGGTTGTCTTAAATTGTTGTTAGTTATATGTCAGGAGAGGTTGTCTTAAATTGTTGTTAGTTATATGTCAGGAGAGGTTGTCTTAAATTGTTGTTAGTTATATGTCAGGAGAGGTTGTCTTAAATTGTTGTTAGATATAACGTCGGGAGAGGGTCTAGTAAGTTGTGTTATATCTAAATATTGTTAGTTATAATGTCGGGAGAGGGTCTAGTAAGTTGTGTTATATCTAAATATTGTTAGTTATAATGTCGGGAGAGGGTCTAGTAAGTTGTGTTATATCTAAATATTGTTAGTTAAAATGCCGGAAGAGGGTCTAGTAAGTTGTGTTATATCTAAATACTGTTAGTTATGATGTCGGGAGAGGGTCTAGTAAGTTGTCTTATCTTAAATTATTGTTAGCTATAATGTCGGAAGGTTGTTATATCAAAATATTGTTAGTTATAATGTCGGGAGAGGGTCTAGTAAGTTGTGTTATATCTAAATATTGTTAGTTAAAATGCCGGGAGAGGGTCTAGTAAGTTGTGTTATATCTAAATATTGTTAGTTATAATGTCGGGAGAGGGTCTAGTAAGTTGTGTTATATCTAAATATTGTTAGTTATAATGCCGGGAGAGGGTCTAGTAAGTTGTGTTATATCTAAATATTGTTAGTTATAATGTCGGGAGAGGGTCTAGTAAGTTGTGTTATATCTAAATATTGTTAGTTATAATGTCGGGAGACGGTCTAGTAAGTTGTCTTATCTTTAATCATTGTTACATGTAGCTATAATGTTGGGAGATGGTCTAGTATGTTGTGAGAAGTTTTGCAAAATGCCTTTGATGTATTTTGAATAAAATATGTTCTAATAAAACAAAAAAAATAACAAATAATGTTCTCTTTTTAAAGATGTACGAAAGCATCCTCTCGGAGTTTTACACTCGCAAACCATCCGTCGTAACAGATCGTACGAAGTCTACTTTGAAAGCTTACAGGCATTTGTTTTTATACTAAATAGGGGGCCCAAATGATCCAGTCTTTTAAGGAAACTTAATGGACATCTATACGTTATTGAAGTACTTACAACATGGACAATAATACAGAATATATAGACCTATGAGACGAATTCCTTTGTTTGGTCTAGTTAACGTGTTAACACATTAAAGTTAATGTATGTAAAATATGTTTATAATGTCTATATAAGTGTTAATGTATAGTGTAACAACTTTAGATACATTAGTGATTGGGTTATCAGCCTAAACAATGACAGGGTTATCAGCCTCCAATAATGACAGGGTTATCAGCCTCAAACAATGACTGGGTTATAAGCCTCGAATAATGATAGGAATATCAGCCTCCAATAATGACAGGGTTATCAGCCTTAAACAATGACAGTTTTATCAGCCTCAAACAATGACAGGGTTTTCAGCCTCAAATAATGACAGGGTTATCAGCCTCAAACAACGACAGGGTTATCAGCCTCGAATAATGACAGGGTTATCAGCCTCGAATAATGAGATGAATATCAGCCTCCAATAATGACAGGGTTTTCAGCCTCAAACAATGACAGGGTTATCAGCCTCAAATAATGACAGGGTTATCAACCCCAAACAATGACAGGGTTATCAGCCTCGAATAATGACAGGGTTATTAGCCTCAAATAATGACAGGGTTATCAGCCTCGAATAATGACAGGGTTATCAGCTTCAAATAATGAGAGGATTATCAGCCTCAAACAATGACAGGGTTATCAGCCTCAAACAATGACAGGGTTATCAGTCTCAAACAATGATAGGATTATCAGCCTCAAACAATGACAGAGTTATCAGTCTCAAACAATGACAGGGTTATCAGCCTCAAATAATGACAGGGTTATCAGCCTCAAACAATGACAGGGTTATCAGCCTCAAACAATGACCGGGTTATCAGTCTCAAACAATGAGAGGATTATCAGCCTCAAACAATGACAGGGTTATCAGCCTCGAATAATAACAGGGTTATCAGCCTCAAACAATGACAGAGTTATCAGTCTCAAACAATGACAGGGTTATCAGCCTCAAATAATGACAGGGTTATCAGCCTCGAATAATGACAGGGTTATCAGCCTCAAACAATGACAGGGTTATCAGTCTCAAACAATGACAGGGTTATCAGCCTCAAATAATGACAGGGTTATCAGCCTCGAATAATGATAGGGTTATGAGCCTCAAACAGTGGGAGGATTATCAGCCTCGGATAATGACAGGGTGACGGGCCTCAATATTTTACCTTGACTTAAACAAAGCAGTAAGGGCTGAGTTGTGAGTGTCAGTTTTAGACGTAGGCGTAAACATGGTAATAATTATAGGAATAGGAGCCTCGACGTAGGCATTTAACGTTAAAGTATATAACAAGCGAGATAACTCTATATTTACGTCGCAGAAAAAACGCACAGACAAAATAAACCCAAATAGAACGTCAAAATAAAGCAAGAAAATACGACGATCACTAAAATGATAATAATGATGATGATGATGATGATGATGATGATGATGATGATGATGATGATGATGATGATATCAAAAATAAGGAATTCACTACTATAAAACCTTGTGTTACGAGTTTGTCCGTCAGTTGACAACTGCTTGCACGTGATAATGAGAACTTGTCCTTGAATATCGAATCAACAGTGACATGTACATACCATAAGGTTGGAGATGCAGGGATATTGGTATCCGAAAATGGAAAGTTTACCATAGGGAAATCGAAATCATCACTCCAGACTACACTGATATGGTACTACATCGAGAACAAGGTTTTTTTGTGCCATCTCCCGGTTTCAGAACAGCAAGTACATTTTGGTGAATATGTTATCAAATGATATGCAACTTAATAGATTGAAAGACCATTGAACTTATCTATACTTCTCTATTACATTTCCAAACAATGTTAATGTAAGTATCAATACATTTTCATAATGTCTAGATAATGCCAAAAAGAATGTCAAATATCTATTTCCAAGACCTGTCTACAATTGATAAATAAAACAGCTGGTACATATTTTTGTATTTACCACGGACCCCATTTTATCAGTGATTCATCTATTATATAGCCCGGCATCATTGTTGTGATGCTGACGTCTAGCCTTATGGTAAATAGGTGTTGAGATGTTTGTAATGTATAATCGTCACATTCTTACTCGAATAGATTCTGAAACATATTAAACCACAACGATTCTGGATCATGTTGAAATCAGTGTCTTCTAATTGGATTGAATAAGGAAGAAAATGATAAATGCCATTCATCATCACTTGAAGTAAACTCGCCTAAAATCACGATTTCCCTTTTTACTTTATGTATAAATGATAATTCATCGTGCATCTTCCGGCATTCTTTGGTCGGTCATTTGAAACAACATCGTGTAAAATCACAGCTTATTAAAAATATTTTCCCTTGTCTATAACATCAAGCGCTATATATATCTCTCCAAAATTTCTAGAGGTGATCATATTCTGTTATTTCACCAAGACACGTTTCTACTTCCGGATAGCATAAACATCGTCACCGACACTGACGGTCCCTTCCACATCTGGTGCCAGGTAGATACCAATACAGGGCTTACCACCATACTTCGGGAAACTCCGGATCCTTGACAACGAAACAATATGGTTGAGAGTGAGGGATACATATGTGAATACAAAATTACAAAATGTATCAGAATTACCTGAAAACAGTAAACAATTATAATATTGAACAAATGAAGTCTGCTTTCGATAACTTTTTTTTCAAATATCTAGATAACTTTTTTATGCCCAAAGGATCAGGTGTTGTTTTCAACTAAGGGTCTGCTGGGGGGAGGGGGTCAATTTCACTAAGGAAAATAAGCATAAATGGCAAAATCCACGAGTTCAGGTAATAGGGTTTTACCTATATTCTGAATAATCCAACATTTTACAAAGAGTTGATGTAACCACAAGATTTGAAACACTTCCGAATAATGCAATTATTTGAAATGTTCTTCCTCTAACGCAAACAAACTGACATGATGATTTAGTCTCATTTTTTTTAAATGGATGATGCAATCTGAAAGACAGAAGAGAGATGTTGGGAAAATGTTTTAAGAATAGTTAAAATATTGTACTTTACAGGGAAAAATGCTTCTCTGTAGGAACTATCGATTTCTTAATTTACAAAAATAGCTAAAGAATATTATTTATCGTATTTTTACTGATAAATAAATATACTAACCGCCTTAATGTAGAAAATGGTTCCTTGTCCTTAGAGCGTTTGCCCTCCTCTTGTACAATATTGATCTGGTTACATCTACAGTACAACATGTAAACTTTTATAAAGCACATACTTTAAGTCATCTTAGTATAGTCGCCATATTTGGTTAATTATGTAGGACTATTTACCACATAACTGCTCTCCTTCTAGAACTCGTCAGTGATGCTGCATCATACAGCTGTTTCGTCCTTCTAGGACTCGTCAATGATGCTGTATCATACTACTGTTTCGTCCTTCTAGGACTCGTCAATGATGCTGTATCATACAGCTGTTTCGTCCTTCTAGGACTCGTCAGTGATGCTGTATCATACAGCTGTTTCGTCCTTCTAGGACTCGTCAGTGATGCTGTATCATACAGCTGTTTCGTCCTTCTAGGACTCGTCAGTGATGCTGCATCATACAGCTATTTCGTCCTTCTAGGACTCGTCAGTGATGCTGCATCATACAGCTGTTTCGTCCTTCTAGGACTCGTCAATGATGCTGTATCATACCACTGTTTCGTCCTTCTAGGACTCATCAGTGATGCTGCATTATACAGCTTTTTCGTCCTTCTATGACTCGTCAGTGATGCTGTATCATACAGCTTTTTCGCTCTTCTATATACTCAATATTCAATTTTTTTTTTCATTTAAAAAAACGTGTAGCCTATATGCCTAATCAAAACGTGTCAAGCAGCATAGGTTTTTTAACAACTTCAGCAATGATTATGTTTGCAATAAAGTAAAAGTTTCTTCACGTCAAATAAAATATTATTGATAATACAAAATATATATAAAAGATTTCCTTATAGAAAGACAACATACACTAAAAATGAAAACACACAAGGGGAATAATTATACGTACAATGATGAAACAGTGCATCTCGTAACAATTAATAAAGAATCGGTCCGTCATCTTTTGATGTGTGGGAAAAACAAGCATGGCATCTTCTGTGGTAGAAATCCCGTTTAATAAAGACTTTAATCGATACAAAAAAAAAATCCTAAAACAGGACGACTGGAGTATTTCTATATAGGAGAGGATAGTTCATGATAGAAAAAGGATGTTTGATTTGTCAGGAAAAAATAAGTTTAATGTCTTCTATTTTCTATCAGCATACAACAGTCAGCATGTTCTCCATATCAGTATCTTATCAATGATGAGTGTTGAACATTGTCTATGTAAAGTTTTAATATATATAATGATAATGACAGACATGCTGATCATGGCGGAGCTTTATCAGCACACTGACAATAGGAGGAAAGTTTATGTAAAACCTGGTGAACTGACCTGGAACACATGTCTATCATCCTGAAGGAGGTTGTACCTATCTTCACTGCATCCCAATTATCCTATAAATGGACGACACAGCAATGTAATTAATAATGTTTAAAATCATTTTAATAGTTAACTAGATAAAATCATCACTTAACGAAAACTTGTTTTGTTTGATGTTGATATTTCATTTTTTCGGAAGGTCATCAAACGAACTAATAAACATCAGTGATTTACAGTTAAAACAAGTTAAATTGTGGCCAAGGAATGCCACGTAAGTTTTTGACATTATATAACACCTAATCCCACAAATCATGTGGAGATATTAGCAACGACACAACAAAATTAACCTCCTCGAAAGCTGGCGATCCCTCCATCATGATGTTTGGCCGAAAGTTGTTTACATTCGCAGGTGTCTCCAGTTCCGCGTTCAGAGCGTTAAGACTTTCTTTGGTCATCATCATGAAGGCACAGTAATATGAAAAAGCCATCTATTAGCAGAAAAAATCTTATTGTCACAACAAACTATTTGTGTTGGGGATCGAAATTAAAACGAAAGCATAAGCATTTCAAAATGATTGTATGTCGATTTATGGATTTGTTATGTATTACTGTAGATGTTTAACATTATTTGGTATTTGTTAATCTCATACCAATCTTTTATGTCATTTGTAATTGTATAGTTTATAATCCATAGTTGTATCAGGGACGTATATATATATACGTCCCTGGTTGTATTTATAAACTGCAAAGGGTCGCTTTATATGACGATTTGGGAAAAAATGCGTGTGGACTACATTTTTGTCGTCATGTTTTCAAAATGGTTTTCTGTCGATTTATGGGTTTGTCGTTTATTTATGTTGAGGTCCGAGGTTTCGTATTATATGGTATAATAATTTCACAAAAAGATCTACGTTTCCTCGTTGCTACGGAATAATTCTTAAAAATAACTCTTATTAAAATATTGCATGAATTATCATCACAAATCACAGATTTCAAATTCTTAAATGCCGAGTTGGTGGACAACTTACCCTATATTTTAGGATCAGAAAACAAATATTTCAGCTTGTTTCTCGATATTGGAAAAAAAAATACTGTTTGAATGAAAAATGCAAAATTAAACCTTAGCGACTCCTTTTTAATCAAGGAAATAGTCTTAAAGTAATAAAGAATAAAGTCTTTTAAAAAAAATTTAAAAAGTAGAAAATGGTTAAATAAGGGATATAAACAATTTACCTAAATTCTCTTTTTTTTCGGTTGCGATGTAGAATTAATCAAGCATTTTTATATTATTTTTTTCTTGATATCCAAGTGTCATACTATCAATTTTATTTGCAGATGAAATGTTTTTAAAGCTCTCGCGAAAATTACAAAAATGGTTGTTATTAAAGAGAAAATGAGAACAAGTGAAAATGAAGTGTTTCCTGTTTCACATGTATTCTCTTATCTAAATAATAAAAAAAAAAAACCAGCGAAACAAAAGTTTAATATTGGCCCAAAGGGACAAGTGAGCTTATGCCGTGGCGCGGCGTCCAGCGTCAACTTTTTCCTTTAAAGATTCCAAATGTTTTGATATTTGGCCAATATGTTCCTAGGATGAGGCCTGACAAAGGTTGCCAAAAAAGACTTGACCTATATTCGAGGTCATATTTGTTAAAACCTTTAAACGACTCTTCTCGTGAAGTAAAAGGTCTAGAGGCATGCTATTTGCCTGGTATATACATATACCAGGTGAGCTCTGTAGGCCCATTGGACCTCTTCTTATTTCTTAGAGCAGTACATCCTTAAGATATTCTTATCTTGAAAATAGACGACATTTATTGAATTATATGGTAAGTGCACCTCCCAATATAGAATATAGTCAGTAATATCGACGGTATCGTCCAATATTGGTACTGAATCCAAATCACAATGTATAATAAAGACAGTAGACAGTACTGACAAGTGAAATGTCAAATTATTACTTCGTTGATCATATATTATATATACATATAGGGTGAAACAATAATATATACATGTATATATATATTTCGTCCTATTGTGACTTTTTCTAGTTTCTCCCAGTTTTGACCCCTAGCATCCTTGACGAGTAGTAGAAGCTCTATGATGCGATTTAATACATGCTTTGATATTTTGTATAGAAAATCGTTATTAATGCGTCTTTTATTCATTATTTTACAAATCAATTAAATAGCATGCAATTTTTTTATTTAGCTATATGCTTTAAATCATGTATTATATATAGTACTATTTGTGAAAGTACTTATACTTACTTTTCTGGTGGTCATCACATAATTATCTGGCGGCTAATACTTATTTTTCTAGGTGCCACCACTTAGTTATCTGGTGCTGCCACTTAGTGTTTTGGTGGCCACCACTCAGATATTTGGCGGCCAACACTCAGTTATCTACCGCCGCCAGATAATTGTGATGACCATCAGAAAATTAAATGGTGTCCGCCAGTAGCTGCCAACACTTAAAATATTTTCACTGGTGGTGTTAGCAGACGTCCGTAATTTTCTATAGTAATGATGGTGGTTGAAACTAATTTTGACATCAGACTTATAGACTGTACTATAAAAAAGAAGGATTGGTTCTTGGAAAGCTGAAATGTTTTAACATCCTACCACCAGCACAAGTGTTTATTTATAACTTTAAACATGCCGGTTCGTAGTCTAATCCGTAAACTTACCCTGTCTCCGGGTAGCGCATTATGTTCCCATGGATATTTGAAATTGATGGATTCCCGTTTTGACATATCTGGGTGAGAGTAGTTGAGTCTGACTCCTTTCCGTCCTGTGTGTTTGGTGAACCAATCCGCAGCTTCGTCACCGCAATCCAGCGTGTCTACGGCTAACGGACCAGTACTGTAATCAACAAGATTTTTCAACAGTTTTGATTAGATACAGATTGCTGAATGGTGATTTCTTAGCATTGCCCTGATCCTCCTCTTGAGAACAAGACATTACTTCGATCTAAGAATCGAATCTCATTTAAATGATTGAACTAAGATGACGATTTCGATTACATTGTGGAAGTGGTCGGTGAACAGAAAGTTCGTCCGGCTCTTAGTCTATCTGTCCTCTTTGATTGACTGAATGTGTCTGTTGTGTATGATTTCCTTTCAGGTAAAAAAAGAGCAACGGAGTTTTTTATAGTCAGAAATAAGGAATTTCAGGGAAAATCACAAACTAGCATTACCCGATACGTCGGACACATGTCTGGTCGAGTTTCGGGTTCAAGGGAACCAGAAGAGGTTCCATCCCTGGGGCCGTCATTTCCACCATGTCTTCGTGCAACTTCACAGTCACTAAGGTAAGTTTTGGCTCCATGTTTGCGTTAATCCAGTTGTTGACTTTAGAGCTTAGAATCCAGTGTCTGATGAACAAAAATCAGGATTAAGACGTGTGTTTTATACCTTTCAGATTGGAAACATAATTAGTGTTCAATGTTTTAAGCAATTGAGCCAAGAAATGTTCACGTAGGGTTTATATTTGTGTGGTATGCCTCATCTTATAATACATCGTATCTTGACAAAGCTGGCCTCAGTTATCATAAATGTGTCATAAATATTCGTTATTTACCCGAAAGACATTTTGAAAAATTCCGCTACTACAATTATGAGCAAACATGATTCCCATTTCGACACAGCCATTTTCAAAGTACCGTTCTAATACCTGGTACCAAATTGTTCAAATGTAGTTAGTGTTGAAACAAGAAAGCGAAAATCCCAAATTTGATTAGAATAAAATGAAAAATAAATCCACATGCAACTTCAGATTAGGTGTGACAGGCCGATTCACTTTGATAACAATCGTTTCTTTGTGACACTGATGTGATATTTTAATTAACCACTTTAGGATATCATTTTATACATGAAAATAGATGCAATAGCATTCGGCTTTACTTGCTGAAAACTTAATATTTTAGATAATAAATGTAAAAATTAAGTACTAATTCTACGACCGTAAAAGAGAACATACTATCTGTTTTTTATTTAATCCTCATGTATTATTTAAGAATGTTTACTTAATAGAATATTCAAATTCAATATTCATGAATTTCAACAGAATGTCGACCTCAGGTTCTCACTTAATGGGTCTTCTGTCGCCACAAAAAGTTGTTTGTATCAATTCAAGAAAACTCGAGGTCTGATATCTAGGTTCTCCATTGGCTGTAAAAGATTAACAGCATTCGTAATGGCATTCAGGGTTTACGATGAGGTAACAAACCTGTCTGTGACTCCAAACTGACGCAATCCTATTGCTGTACATTCGGCCGTTTCGATGTCCAGTCCTCGACATGATTTCACCGGGTAAAGATGTAGACTAGACACTTTCCCGACCTTCTCGTAGACTCTGGGTTTACCTGAAGCTAGCCATGTTGTAAATCCATACTTGAGCACGGAGGCACCGATCAGGCCAACAAACGTAGACGTCGCATCATCTCGTAGAATGGAGAGCATCGTCACCTTTCAGAAAATAAGATTGTGAAATCCTGACACGTAGGGTCAAAATATGTGGTTCATCAATATGTGTTTGTATCATGATATGTCAAGCGGATAGACATCACTTTAATGGAAGTTGTAGATACGTAGATTTATTGAATTTGCTCATTTTGATTGAACGCTCAAGTACTTTCTGTGGCACCCCTGGTTTACTCTGATTCTAAAATAGCCACTGCATTACGTGTCAGATCACATGCTTTGATAAAACATACCATTTGATCAAGTTCCGTGAAAAAATGGTTTTAGGACTGATGAGCTATATGTCACAAATACCTGTGAGTAGTGACTTTGCTACCATAACGTCAAAATTATCCGCTGAAAAATCCTGCATGGACCCTAACTTTCTTGTGTCACTGATATTGGTTCACAAGTTTAGGAAAGTTGTCCTAAAAACTTTTCTACGAACAGACCAACTGTTTCCAGTCTAAATCCCATCCACCCCTCCCCCCCCCCCAACCCGCCCTCCACTCACACACTAACCCCGCTCCCTTCACCTAAGCCCGCCCTCCACTCACATACACACACTGTTTCCAGAAGGGTAGGCTTGGGGGTTATATAGGGGGGTGAGAGGGTGGAGATAACCAGGTTGTGGTTATAAAAAGTAATGGTAATGTCCTTATATTGATTGTAAAAAAGGAACAAAAATCAAAGCTGAAAATTAGATGAGACCTACCTTAAGTTGAAAGCTGAAAGGATTATGTCTTCTGATGGTACGTAGATATCACGTGAGATGCGTGCGCATCGTCAGAAGTTAGTCGTACGTCAGCATGTGAGTGAACACTTCAGTAGCACCGTTTATTTGATGTAGTTGAAATATTGTCAAGTCTTAATAATAACAGCAGGAGTGATGACGATTCTAATCAAATTACTGCTTGCAGGAGAATTCATTTAATTTTCAAATTCTGTCTCCATTTCTGATTAGTACTACGCGATTCTGTGAGATGTTTAAAGACTGCTCAAGGACAAAATACAAAAAACTCACTCAACAAAGAAATGTTTAGTGTATTCTAAAAACCATGAGTACATGTTATTTTCTCAAGTCTAGCATATAATTAGTTTGCCTGTGTCTATCACTGTTGTGTTCACCAGAATGCACAATCCATATAATAGTTTTTCATGGTTTGCAGAATGAATGTTTATGTAAAAGTCACAATGAAAACACAACCACGAATATGACCTCCTTAACAACTGGGGTTATAGACTTGATATCAAGTGTCCATTTATATACATCATACCCTAACTACTAATTGAATAAATCTGGAGAACGTTGAAGTATTTCTCCATCCAGCAGTTTTCATGCCAGAAGCACATTGATACACAGCTGATATGGACGCTGCTCTAGAACTATGAGATAAAAATGTTGATGTCTATTCCAGTCTGTGTTTGCAAGCATTTATCAATCGTGTGATTGTACTACTGCACAGAGGATAATATGGCATTTGGTAACCGAGAAACCGCGTATGTTTTTCCTTCGAACATCTTAAGTACTTTTCAGGTATTCCTGAAATTAGGTAAAATACACCGAGAGGGTTTATCTCTCGAACGAAATTCCACTTTGATTAAAATTGGGTCAAGACTATAAAAAAAACCATAATGAATAAGTTGGGTAAAAATACACGGAGAGGGTTTATCTCTCGAACGAAAGTCCACTTTGATAAAAATTGAGTCAATACTATTTCAACAAACCACCATGTTTAAATTTCACACAATTCTGCTGGAATATGACAATAAGCATGTCCATCACATGGAGTAACTGTTTCCGCTATCCAGTCAATAACGCCAACATTGTTACCACTTTCGATGGCAACATTTTTAATGAACAGCGATCTATAGTATCAAAATTGCCAGAAACTGTTAGCGGGTCTCATATAATAGAATTGCTTGGCAAAGGAGACCTTTTTTTAACATGCTGTATAAAAATCTCCTCAAGAAAGTTCCGCGCAGCTGAACTCCAAAAATCAATTTTTTATGTAAATGTTGTACTGTTTTTGGGTCCTTTCCGGCCATGATGATCGAAGATTCATTCAGTTCCTTTTGAAAGTACAATGTCTGCGATTGATTTCAGAAAAGGCGACATACCATCCTGGGAAACAAAACATGAGTAATTCTCTTAAGGAACTGAGAAACAAGTTTGCATGGTCGACAAACAGAACAATGGCATACCTGTCAAGTAAGGTGTGAATTTAACATCAGGAGGGACAAGGAACGCTGACCTGTGTTTTGTTTCCATTTCAGATTTGAGCCTGCTTATTCTTTCAAGAAAAATGAAGGACAAAATGGAATTTACCCATTCAGTGAATCAATGCAGCATGTACTCTTTTCATCCATTCTCTGACAGGTTTCAAGAGAATTCATAATTATCTTGGGTTTCACGATAATTAAGACACTTCCTGAACAACTTGAGTAAAGACTAACATTTAGGTCATCCACATTCAGTTGTTTTAGCGTTTGTTTGAAGTTAAATAGTTTGGATACGATGGGCTCGGAGTCACTGTTGGAACTTACACGTGTGTTTCTTTTCTGTTTGGAATGTTAGAATGATGAAATGTTAACCTGCAGACTTCTGGTGTAAAGCATTGCTGATGCTTACAGCACCCAATCTCTTATTTGCAAACTCAACTTTCACAAATTGAGTTTTTGGAAGAAGGCAGTAGTGCGTGGTAGTATGTTATATCCCTATATTCGAGGGACTGGTTATGCGATTCCATGTATTTTTTCCGTCAACTTCGTTGTAAGGAAAATTAGCTGATTAATTTCCTGAATTATTTTCCATATGATATCCTACAGATATTAATTTATGTTTTCTTTTTCATTTAATTACTATGCTCCTGATTCCGGATATTTTTTTCGTTTCTTTCATTGTTAAATTTGGTGAAGAAGAAGATGGGTCGACATCCAAAGTGTACCTCTTACCTTCTCCCTGATTTGGAGGATCATATTTGGTCAATTCCGCTTCACGTATTAGAAAATAGTTTCTTTCTTTCGTACTTGGTGACCTTGAATTTAGAATATGCCTTTTCTCATTTGAATTTCAAGCAATTTTTGATTGATGAAAAGATGAAATCCTGTATAGTATTTTGTATTTACTCTTAGTAATTGATCATAATATAAAATTATCGTCAAAGACTTAGACTGTTCCACATGGGACTTCCATCTTTGAGATTAGTTGTAATAATTTTCAAATTGAAGTTAAATATAATTTATTCGGTAACTCCTATAGTGCTGCTTACCAGCTACCATCTACTCAACCACGACCCTGTCCACGTTTAAATTTGGGTAAAGATCTATGAGTTGTATGTCTCTCTATTTATTTCAAAAGAATGGTCATTCAATCATAAACTTTTACTATAAGATCTCATCATGCTTTTCGATTATGATTAAAAGCTTTCTAAAACTGTAGATGTTGTAATTATTTTAAGATGGTCAATCATCTATTGTAATATATTCATATGCATGTTTTGTGTAATATATGACGGAAAATGAATGAAAAATATTTTTTAAAAAGATAATGAAAACTGAAGTCAATACTAACCAACATGTTATCTAATCACGTGCAATTTAATAGATAGTAAGAATAATGAACAATTTACACTTTCCCATTGTGTTTTAAACATGTTCCGTGTAACTATGAATACATTACATATGCCTTAACAATTTTCATTCTTAGGAAGATGTTAAATATATCTAAAAGCTGACACAAATACCACAGCTTGTCCAGAGCTGCATCTGCCATGGGCCCTATTGTATCAATAATCCAACAAATATATAGCCTAACGCTAACGTTGTGATGCTCGGTTGAGATTTATCTCACGTCGGTAAAACATTTAAAGTAGGTGATGTGTTGACATATTTCTAATGCATAATTAACATTAAACACCACAAAAATCACATATCTTACTTTTAACATCCCCATGTGAGTGAAATTCTTTGTCAATCTGACGTTTAGCATCAGGAACATATTAAAATAGAATAGAAGTTCTTATAACACAATCAGTAAAAGTGTGACGTAACGATGACTACACGGCCAGCTTCATCAGACAAATGACCATCTACAAATAACCAGTGTGAAGTGTACTAGCACTGACGTACGTAGTGTACGTGATGGTAGGGATCCGACCACCTTTTTCGGATGTACTATAAACCTATGTACACTTAAGTCGAAAAAAGTGTGACGCGATGGTAGATAGATTACAAACCAAATATACTCAAGATGGAAACAATGTAATGTAGTCAATTCGGCTACGCTTTGTAATCTTTTGACTGAAATCACTAGTTTCATTTCCTTGGTCAGTCGGATTAACAGCAGTGACCACTTGTTTGGTCTATTGAGGTAGTCGGATTTACAGCAGTGACCGCTAGTTTGATCTCCTGTGTCAGTCGGATTTACAGCAGTGACCACTAGTTTGGTCTATTGAGGTAGTCGGATTTACAGCGGTGACCACTAGTTTGGTCTCCTGAATCAGTCGAATTTACAGCAGTGACCACAAGCTTGGCTCTGTGTCAGTCGGATTTACAGAAGTGACCACTAGTCTGGTCTCCTGCTTCAGTCGGATTTACAGCAGTGACTACTAGTTTGGTCTCCTGGGTCAGTCGGATTTACAGCAGTGACCACTAGTTTGGTCTCCTGGGTCAGTCGGATTTATAGTAGTGATCACTAGTTTGATCTCCTGGGTCAGTCGGATTTACAGCAGTGACTACTAGTCTGGTCTCCTGGGTCAGTCGGATTTACAGCAGTAACTACTAGTTTGGCCTCATGGAACGTTACATCATTGATACAGAAATCATTAAAAGGTATTTTCTACCATTTTGATAAAATTGGAGAGAAAATAAAGAAAATTCGACTTAATGAAAATCATATTTGTTTCATTTTTATACATATTAATTATTCAGTATCACAGTGTTATATTGCTCCAGGATATTTTCCATCATTTGAAACATCGTGTAAAATCACAGCTTTT